GCCTTACTGCAGTACGGCTAGCTCTAAAATAGTCACTCCCCCAGGGGTAGCTCCTATCCCTATTGTTTCTAGCCCACTTGCTTCCTGCCCAGCTGTCAGCCCTATACAACAATGGGAACTGTTTAGTGCTGGGCTGTCTTAAAAATCTGGCCTTACATGGATGTTAGTCTAACTCTTCAGAGAGGCTGACTAGTCATTTATGTGTGGCTACCATGGGTCTATTCAAAGTGGGGGAAAGAATTAAAGACACTTGTATCAGGGTTGATGGTACTTTTGTTAAGAGGTTAGATTACGGATGGATAGGATGATCTTGCTTCAGGCAGGGGGCTGGACTAGATGATGAATGGTGGTCCTTCCAGCCCTACTTCTCTATGATATCTCTGAAGACAATGATGGGACCAGAAGTGCCCTGTTAATCTCTCCCTAGGTTCATGAGCATCTGAAGGACTCTCAATAACCAGAAAACATCAGGGATGTGTTTGAGTGGTTTATAAGATAAGATCTCTCATATTGTTCTAGTCATAAACTTTATTCCAGAGAACTCAACAGGTTCTGGACAGGACTCATATCAGATCCTAATGGCACAAAGATAATGGGCAAGCTGGAAAGGAAGGGTGGGAACTAGTCTGGAACTCTAGGGACCCTTATTCTGCTGGAAACTTCCTGCACAACCTAAGGCTACAGTTTCTAAGGTCCAAGGTGACAAAAAGCACAGAAGGCCGACTAGTAGGATTTCCTGTAAAATGCCTTGGGACCTAAACTGCTGCAGAAGCCAAGGGGAAGATGGCAAGCAGGTGTATTTGAACATCCCTCTCCTCATATAACTTCATCTTTGAGAACTGACAGAACTTGAAAATTTGGCTTTTAGTCCCCCTGTGTATCAATACCCATCCATAAAATGTGGATAATGATACTTCCCTGCCTCCCAGAGGTATTGGGAGGACAAATCTATTAAAGATAAAAACCCTGGTTCATTTTACCTGCTATTTCAAGCTCTACCAGTAACTATTCTACCGAGCGTGCAAACACAATTAAGCAGTAATCTTGATTGCTTTGAAATAGATGAATAAATATGTAATGGCTGCAATTAACTCCCCTGAATGCCATTGCTGTGACAGATCAATTCCTGCCAGCCACCAGAGAACATGAAAAAAGTGCTTGCCTCCCCGATTCCCCATTCCTTTTGGAAACACAGCTCCAAACTCTTGTACATTGTCTAGTGAGAAAGCTCCCTTGACTAGTGCTCGCAAATACCAGCACTAAAATAGCTGACATGTTCCTTTTTCATCAAAAGTGCTGGCATGCTAACTCTTCCCATGACAGCCATGGCTGTGTGTAGGGAGCCGGAGGTGTGTGGAGGGCAGTTATATGACTGAAATCCTATAAAACTGTGTTCAGAGACTGCATGGCCACTCACCTGGATGCTCAGCATTCAAGACTTAAAAATGTCCATCCAAACGCCACATTTCTGGCTGTGCACTGGGTACGGCCCCCCCCCAAAATCGGTGTAATGGTACTCAAATCCTGACATTAAATGGGTACCTAGCTCCCTTAAACCACCTTGAAAATCCCAGCCTAAAAAACTTGGAGGTGCTCATTCCCAGGGACTTGTAAGCATCCATGGTTTGACACTGACATCTGCATTGCAGGCTCTGTAATTCATCATTTTCAGAGAGAAACGAGAATCAGAACACCTGTGTCCCAGGGATTTGGTAAGAAGGGTCAGGCACCCCCACTCCTCACCTTGCTGTCTCCTCTCTCTCTGGGCAGCTTATGCATTGTTCAGCTGAAGAGTTTCTTCAGGTAGGTTCTGTACAACACAAAATAGCTACTCGTGGGAGCTGGCTGCTTACGTGCAGAAGATTTTAACAATGCTCAACCAAACTCCTGAATCTGTGGACCTGATTCACTGCAGAATGAATCCAGTCTTGTGCCAGTAGAAGCCCGTGGAGATCTCACACATAAAACTAAAGTTGAGCTGTGGTGAATCAAGCCCTGTATTACTTAAATGAAATGAGCTCTTCCGGAGTATTACTGAAAGCAGACATGATTCCTTCCTGATTCCATGATTACTACATGTCCCCTGTCCTAGGAAGTAGGGCCCAATTTTTCCCTGGCTTCAGAAGGAGTTCTGGGTGCCTCCTCTCATCTAAAAATCAGGCCTACAATGACAAAAGGAACTTCCTAAAGCAAGACATTATGGTCCTGTCTCTTTTGATGCAGGCTAATTGCCCTTAGTACAGCAGATACTAAGATGACCAGGACAGCACATAAGAAAATTGTTACAGTGATATTATTTATATCTTGTAGGCAATGAGGTGTGCAAAATCTCTTGGGAACAAAAGGACTGAAAGCCCAAATTCAGAAACTAAAGATCAACTGGGTTGATTTTTTTCACCATTAATAAACTATTTCTGAGGGCTTAGTGGAAACAGACATAAAATGGCTGCACTTTTAAAACAATGTGAAGAGAGCAGGGCACGTTACCCAGGAAAACTGATTTCCTCTGTAATTACTTTCCTGCTTATTGAGGTTTCACACTGTGTGAAGGGTCACTGATGAAGGACTGTGCTGTTCTGTGATAAATAAGGTTAATGTTGCTGTATGGCTCTGCTTTGTGGTCACAAGGCAATGGTAGGAATGTGAGAGCAATTTGCTATGTTTGCTTAGGTATGGAAGGGAATGACTCCTGAGTATGAGAGCTCAGCCCTCCGAGGTGGCTCCATCTAGTGCACAGAAATGTGAGCAGTCCAACTCTCTCCCGCAAGTTCAGTCCTCGGCTTTTAGTTAAGCACATGTTAAAGTGCTTTGCTGGATTGGGGACAGAGCACTTGGCACCTGGCAGGGACAAGTGTTATAGTAGAAGGCAAGGAAACTGGGCCTGTAAATAGATATCTCATCTTAGGCAGTCCCAGGTCTGACCTGAATCAAGACAGAAGCGGCACGGCCATTTACATCTGTAGCCCCTCCGAGCTGCATTGCTGCTCCCCTGCCAGTAGATGGCTAATGAGAGCACACACCTTGCCAGGCTTGTTGTCCCTAGAATACGTCTCAATAAGCTTGCAAGGTGATACCCTTGGAAAAAGAGTTAGCACATATCATTTTATCTCTCACAAGTCTCAGGCACTTAAAGCATGACAACAGACATGCAAGTCTGCAGGATCTTGGAACAAAAAGCTTTGTCCTCAAAAAAAGATGAGGTCCCTTTATACAGCCTCAATCTCTCTGTTTATCAGAGACAATTTGCTTTGGGGCAGTGTGGCATAGGATTTTAGGGACTCAACAGGGAATACTCAATGTATACCAGCTGAAGCACTGGCCCTTTTAATGGTAATGCTTGTCCTTGGTGAGAATCCTTAAGAAGCAGGTGGAGGAAGAAACAAGAAGAACGGAAGCTACTGAGGATACATAATTTTTGCAATGCTTATTTTACTCGTTACTAAAATTAGCATCCATAGTCCTGCATCAGCTTTCCTCAACCTCTGGTACATTTCCGAGGCGCTATAAAAGGACATTCCCTATCAGAAGGTGAACGGAGAATTTTCAGCTCATTGACAAAAGAAAGGAAATAATATCCCTTTTAGTCCCTCGCTCGGTTTTCCACAGCGACTGTAATAATTCTCAGAAATGGCTGAATATTACTAAACATGTACAAAATATAGTGTTTAATTAGAGAAATTTGCTGCCGTTAGGTAAAATTTTACCTTAAAGAGAAAAAGACAATGAAATACAAAATGTCACCATATGCTCCAGTTTCTTCTTGAAATTCAAGTTACAGGAAATTCAGAAAATATACAAGCTGTGTATGAAAAGAGCAACTTCCAATCAAGACAAGGTTAGCACATCTCCTGCTAGCTCAGCAGGGAGCTCTTTTTTGGGCTCACTTCCAAGAGCTGTTGCCTACAGATCAAGGGAGAAATCCAACCCCATGGAAGCCCATCAGAGTTTTGTCATGGAGCCAGGATTTTATCCTGTGAATGATTTAAGCTCAAAACCTAAGAAGTGCTAATATTCCTTACAAGATCCTACCTACCCAGCTCACACTTTTTATATTCCATAAATATAAAAGGAACCATTCTCTCTCTTCAGGACCACCTTGTTCATGAAAAACCAATTCCTCCAACCCTCCCTATGGACCTAGGATAATTGTACCTGGTATTGAATTTGCTGACTCTTCTGTCTCAGCTCTTCTGCTTGTCTACTACTGACCTCTATTTACACGCTTTTCTACTATCTCCAGTTGTCCAACTTTCAGTTTATCTTACAAGTTTCAACATCTGTGGTGAAGTACTACAAGAGCTGAAGGAATGGAATTTGAACAAGACTGTGGCTACAGTCTATACAAGCACACCATACACTGCCTGACACTACCCTTTACCCAGAATTTCCTAAAGTACCTATCCTATGACATCCACCAGCACACACAACATTGTAGGTGCCATTAGACATCAGTGTATGGTACCCCTCATGCCATTTTTTTTCTCTACTATAGGAAAGCAAACATGATACATGCCAACAGAATATCAGTATATGGGTATCGGGGCGATAGGTGTCAGAAGAGTGAAACCAATGAAGAAAGAGAGACAAACACAGATGTGTAGGTAGATGGGGTAGAGCTTGCCCTTTCATTTGTTTGGAAAACAATTGGATTGTGGGTGTTAATGCATATTTAAAAAAAAAAACAAAAACAAGGCAGATTAAATGAGACACATACCTGGTAGACCTTTTCCTTTAAATAGTCAGGGCTACATTTTAAACCACACTTACCCTCTCAAAACCCTACATTTGTATGTATAAATTCAGCAAATACACACCCAATTAAATCAGCTTTGTCACACATACTTGTGTAGGTATGCTCATTGTGTCCGCGAAACCCACGTCTGTGGACTCCCATGTCAAGCCCAACTCCAAAATATTACCACTGCAGCATCTCTTCCTTTCAGCTGCACAGCTGAAATGGAAACAAAGTCAGCACCCAAAAATTTACTCTGTAGATTTACCTGATGGGAGCAGACTCATCCCCTTTATCAAGCCAGTCCTGGGGAGGGATTATATACATGCACCAGAGTCCCCAGTTATAACCGTGGGCTGCATTGGCATATTGCTGCACTTCGAATGTGTTGTACTTGATATTATCAATAGCTGGGAGGATGATCCGCTTTCGGTCTTCTTTGATCCGGGTAAGTGCTGGCTCCACCCTGGAAACAGGAACAGTAACAAAGTGTTATACAGCCACTCACTACTCCCAAGCCCCCTTAGCAATCTGACCAAGTGAACGGTGAAGTTTCCTAATGCTACAAGCAATAGCACAGAGGCAGCGGGCTGTGATATGGCTCACAGTGATTTAATGAAGACTAGCTTTGTCTGCTGAAGAGGCAAGGGGCTTGGCTCAGGATAATTCACATAGCAACAGCTGTTCAACTGCATGGGAGCGTTGGCTCACAGGTGCTGAATCTTTGAGGCTGCTCATTTGGATTAATTTGGTCAGTGATGACTAGGGATTGTTTCACCTAATGTCTTTTCAGTGTCCTGTGTGCTAGAAATTGGGTCCTCATTCTTCTTCCTAGTGGGCAGCTGTGAATATAACTTGGAAAAAAACCCCATCAAGATTAGTGCTGAGCCCTTGAGCTACTGTCTCTGAGAAGTTAGCTTCTGGGAATGACATGGTACATTCGTTCTCATTGATGGTGCCTGGAAGAGAACAAAAGTCGCATCAAGGACAATGACTTCTGCAGTGGCCCTTCCAGTTCAGAGTTGAGTGGCAAACTTGAACTGCCATGCTATATCTCGTCAACACAGCTTGAGCCGCTTGGTTTTTTAATGGACAGCTTTGACATGAATAGATAGCCATTTCAAAACACCCCGAGAGCCCCTCGAAGGCTACCCTGACCCTGAAGGCTTTGGAACAGGGTAAAAATACAGAAGCAACAGTAATGAGTTATCAACACAGACATGGGAAAATATTAGCTTAGAGATAGGGAAGGTGAGGCAGAGGCAGGAACAGCTCACACAGGGGCACGAAGCAAAGTGGTTTCAGGTCTTGGAGCAGGACTCAGCTGCTGCCCCTCTTAGTGTCCATTACAACGCATGGGAACAATTTAGAGGCTACCTTGCGGGTGAAGAGTTTATAAAACTCCACAGAATTGCATTTAATTTGGTGGACAAGCCAGCTTGCTGGATTCACAAAGATATTTGCAGACTCCTGTTTCCTGTCACTTAAACTCACTTTCTTTTTAAGTGAGATTTAAAAAGGCTGGCTGGCTCCTTTGCTAGCTTCAGATTTGTTACTCTACCTTTTTGTATAATAGGTATAAACACGGCACAGAGAACCTGAGAAATTAATTCAACCCCAAGACTCATCTTGAAATGTCTCCTTCTGAAACGGACACCTCTGCTTTTCTGCTTCTGTCAATTTGCTGAAGCAGCGAAGATCCAGGCCAGCATGAAACAAAGGGTCATCCAAGTGCAAGTGCTCTCACATGCAGGACTACTGGGTGTTCAGCTCCTCTGAAGAGTCATTCAGCATCTTGCGGCATTAGGCTCCAATACATCCCCACCCATGTTTCTTCCCATGGAACTAATACCATTTCCACCCTACTTTTTGTTGTGTGTTATTTAAGCAGGCAGCACCTCCCAGGCACAAAGGAGCACATTTATCTGCCAGATGGACAAGCAACATCTGTGTGAGATTTTAGACTCTGCAGTACATTAGTCAGGATGCCAATTTGCAAGGGTTTTTCTTTGGGCGCGACTCATGAATGCCCAGAGAGAGCTGACGTGACCTAGCAAATCAGGATAAATAGCAGCTTCTGCTATTTATATAAGATTATAGTTATGAGATTAACTTCCCTGGAAGGACTGTAGGCATCCAAAGGAAAAACTACCAAAGGTTTCAGAGAGCAGGACAGATTTAAAAAGAAGATTGATCCACCCAGCAATTCTTAAATAATATGTGCTCATTAGACTACAGACTTCAGGAAACCCACAGAGAAAATCACCAAAGTGACTGAGATATCAGCTAGGCACATATCCCCCACCATGAAGCATGCACCTCCATGAACGTCAGTGATAACTGCTGTGAAGAATCACAGCGGTGGCAGCTCCCACTCTGTTCCTGCCCAAGAAATGAAGGACTTCAGAATACCAAGCAACAGGTGCCAGGCCTTTGACTACCTAGAAGAGCCCTGTAGAGCCCTTCTGACCCAAACACCTATGAATCTATTCGTTGTGGCATATGGTTATATGTGAAAAAGCACATAGGGGCACATTATTTTCAAGTAAGCTCCATCTACAGAAAAACCTTTGAGGACTGAATAGTCTTATATAAAGAACAATAGATTTTAAGTAACTCCTGACCAAGGAGGGCACCAAGGAAATGTGAAGAGAGGTGGTGTAACTTTAACTTTGCCCACTTTTTGACAAACTCTTTGGGCACCAAATCCAAAAGTCTTTCATCAGTCAAATTCTCACTGAAGTAGAAGTTAGGACCCTTAACATTTATGGCCTGGTTCTCTCAAAACTTTGAGTTCACTTCTGGACTTTCCTTTTAGCCATGCATTTTCTGCAGTGTAAATTAGTCGAAAGGGTAAATCTTTACCGAGTAAAGGTAATGCTTGAAGATTCCTAGTGATGAAAACTGAGAAGGGATCTGAAGGATATGAAGTTAACCTTCCAATCCACATGCCTTTCATTCCTCAAATCTATCATGTTCATCTGACATCTGTGGTTCTGAAGTATAACACCAGTCCTCACTGCCCTGGTAACCAAGGCCAGAAGCTGTTCCAGATTCCTCGTCTAGTCGTCCCAAAAGCGTTGGGTCCGTAAGGATCCGCAGCGCTTAGAGATCTTCACGCTCTCCCTCTCGAACTCCAATTGCTCTCTCTCCAACTTGGGCGGAAACCACCCAAGCTCTTTATACCGCTAGCAAGCCAATCGCTAGCCGCCACGTGTGCATGTATTAGAATCGGCCAATAATGTGGCAAGAATCTTCATACAAATGGCGGGAACTCCTTTGCACTGTGCATTTCCTGGATGCAAAAGAAATGCACCATGCAAAGAAAGCTACAAATTTGGCGGGAATACTCCGTTGCACCGGGGTTCTCCTCTGCAGCAGAAAACTCCACCGTGCAAAGAAGCTGCAATTTAGCGGGAAAATAATTTAGCAGTGCCGAAGCACACACAAACAAAAAATCACAACTTTGGGTTGTGACACTCTGCTTAAAACTGCACACCTGTGAAATTTCACAGCTCGTCTTGCCAGATTGGTGAGAACAGGGGTGAGGAGTGGAGCTAGTCAAACACTGGGCTCCAGCTCCTCCTGATGTCTTCCTCAGGAGGGCTTAGGTCCTGGACTCTGCCAACCCCTCCCTCCCTGCTAAACCCAGAGTGGTCTGTTTTGCAGAGGAGCAGCCAAGACTTGTGCCCGCCATTTAGCTGATGGAGAGTTATTGGAGGCTGCAAAAGGACTTAGAGGCATCATACTGTGTTTTATTACTTAACACAGGTAATCCAGTCTACATGCACCTCCTATCCCCATTAGGCACTGCCAGCTAAATTCAGGCTTGGACTAACTCCATTGGCTCCAGCGGCATTCACCAGAGATACGTTTGTCTCCATATATTGAGTTGCAAACCTTTGTTGACTTGGCTAGTAATTTTGCCTATGTTTGGCCTATCTCTTAAGATTTTTTTAAAGGATTATAATTAAATCTTTCATAGCAATTTTGACCTTGTCCTAGTTTAAAACTGTTACATTATTAGGTAGATTTATTCATCCTCTCCAGGGATGTTTCTGGGGTACCATGTATTTTCTCCCTCTTCAATAAAGGAAGGCAGAGGTTCCTGGCAGCTCTGAGAACAAAAAGAGCTGAGGTGTTGATAAAATTCAAGAGTTAAACACTTCATAATGATGAGCTGCAATCTGGTGTTTGAACATTTCCTTACCACACATCTATTCCCACTTCCTTGGCAACCCGAGCTGTGAAATTTCACAGGTATGGAGAGATGAACAGAGAGATCCCTGTGGTTTGCAGAGGAATCAGATCATGCAGCGACTCTGCTTTGGCCTGAATTATGGCAACAAGCAAAAGCTCTTTGTTATGGTCTGGGTGGAGCTTTGTCCCTCTCCAAGGGCAGTTACAAGAAGTCAAACCAGTACTCTTGCTGGTGTGAACTAATCAAGAGCTCACACGGCGGCCTCCCCCATCCTCCCCTGTTAAGTTTTCCAAGCTAGGGCCCTTTCTTTACTCTCTCTGGTTGATAAAGCTGGTGGTGGCAGCAGAACTAGCTTTGCGTTCTCCTAGCAAAACCAGGAACCTGCACTGTGTCCAGCTCCTGCTTTGGACAGCAAACATGATACATGCCAACAGAATATCAGTATATGGGTATCAGGGTGATAGGTGCCAGAAGAGTGAAACCAGTTTGGGAGAAAACTTCCCTGTGCTCTCCCCTTCCCTGGAGTACTTGCACAGTGAGCACGCTAAAAATACTGCTTAGGATAAGGCTATACTGAGGTCAGAAGTGTGGTGGCAGCAGGTGTAGCCATACCAAGGTAGCTTTAATCTACCTAGCTGGGGTACCAAGAGTAAAGTAGCCACAGCCCAATGGACTTCAACATGAGCAAGGCAGGCCCACAAACTTGTGCTGCATTCCACTTACCTTCACTGCTACTGAGATGCCTGCCCATGAAACTATCACACCCCTGGCTGCAATGTAGACATAATCTTAAGACTGTATTTTGAACATCCTTGGTGGCGGTTGGCACTCAATGCACCTTTTCTAGGATTCTGCTGCTTCCCTTTCTGGAATATCTTTGGGCTGTGCCACCAATTATCTCCCACTTTCTATCCTACACATTGTTACATGCAATCTAACGATGCTATTTGAAAAGATTCAGAAAGAAAGCAGATGCATTAATCCTCTAGGCAGGTAAAAGGGAGAGGCAACAATCCTCTATGTACTGGTGGAGCATATATAATGCCTCATAGTCACAGGCCACGAACAGCAAGTGTTGGGGCTGGTTTTAGAGAAACAGGGATCAGTGATTGCAAACAGACAATTTCAACTTTCTGAGGACAGCATGAATTTATAGATAAGCCATCCCTCTATGGCTCTTTAGAGTACGTATCAAAGCTGCCACCTCTAGGTTTAAGTTACTATGCTTCTATTCTGTTTCAGTGTTGGTTTGAAAGCTTTATCCA